CAGGCTGCCGTTATTCACTGTGACAAGATGTTGTGCTTTGTCAGGAATCTGGGAATCTATTGAATTGTGTGATTCTGTGCTGCTCTGCTTGAGGAGCTTACAGAGGGATCATTGTATATATAATTCAACAGGATGATGGCTTTTCCTTATCCTGACGAGGATTGTGCTTTAAAAAACTAGGTCAAACCCCTGCAGTGGGAATTGCCCACCAGTTTGCTTAAAAAGTGTTTTAGTGTTGATGATGTTTCAGCAGAGCTATACTTTTCTCTTTATCAACAAAATGTTTTCAGATTCCTTAGCCAAATCATGTCTATTATAGCTAGGTGTTTTTGAAGTAGCAAGTTTTAGCATTGTAAAAACTTGCATATTCTAATGGTTAAAAAATGACCTATTCTTGCATTACCTAATTTAGGCTATCTCTGTCTTTGCTTGACTTATCTCACTAAACTACATACACTTTCTCCCTGTCTAGTAGCATTTATTTTGTAAAAATTGAGGTCTTATGTTTGCTGGAATTCAGTGAGGAAAAACTGGATGAGAGTAGTTTGTGTATAGTACACACAAACCAATCTATAAGGGTCTACAAGGAAATAATTTTTGTGCTTTAATTAGACCTACCTTATTATTTTTAGCATTTGCATTATATTTAATTTGTTTTGAGGAGGAAATGTATTTCAGCTTGGAATGTATTTCAGCAACACTACCTACAAGTACATAAGGCAGCTATGTAGCCTTCTGCTTCAAAAACTATCAGCTGTGTTTTGAAGCAACTTTCAGAATACCAAAAATATACATTCTTGTCTAATATTTTACTGTTTTGGTATCCACCATGAGCTTCCATAATAAGTAATATGAATAACAACTTTAAGTAGCCTCACTCTTCTACTTCAGCGGGGATTTTTTTTTTTTAACTTTGTTTTATTTACTGAGAGGTCACAATAAAAACTTTGCTTTTTTGAGAGTATGTGTATAGGCAGTTACTCTGAGTAATTAAATTTATGAACCAGGTCTCCACCACATCTCTGCAGATGCTTGTTGTGATGTATCAGGTATTTACAAATGTTTTTGTATCTGCAGAGTCACATGACAGGATTTTAGCCCTTCTATAGTAAGCGGCTTCTGATAGCTACATGCTGGCCCATATATTTTAAATTAATAGCTTCTGAAACTTAAAACAGCTTAACAGGCTGAACTGGTAGCTACTTTTACTGCCACTTCCTAACACATTTTTCTTTTACCATCTCAAGTTAAATAATTCTTGTTATCTTTTATCTCCTGATAGTTGCAAAAAAGTATTAAAATGTTAATTTCTACTGGTACTTCCACTGACAAGCAAGTTCTTTTAAAAGCTCACTTATTCTACTGTAGCATTTTTTAAATCTGTTGTTTTTCTAGATTCCCTCAAGTAAAGCTTAGACTAAGCTTTGATGATATTTCATTTAAATATCTGTCAGCACGCACTTCATAGTGTGCTTGCTTTTTCTATTCTATATTCTAATCAGCACCTTTTCCCTTGTCAGCACTTCCCTTTACGATTTACCTCTTATAAAGGAATTCACGAGTTTCTGCTCTCCTTATTCAAGATTTTGTACAACCCTCTTGTGTCTGCCTGTGCATCATGTTTCTTCTCTTTTCATAGCCATCCTCATTCACTGTGACAGAATTTCTAAGTTTCAGATGCCCTTAACCACATCCCCTGTTTACTGATTTTTTTTTCCCCAAGCTACGTGGTAACGTTCAAGACATTTACACTTCATGTTCCTCAAACTCCTTCAGGTACCTGACTCCAAGGGGCTTGCTTGGTCCATGACAGGAACAGGCTTTATAGACTGTGTTTGTTATTTTAGTTCACTTCTCTGTGGAGTAGGTAGAAGGCTACCACCTTCTAACCTCAAAGGTGGCCTTGCAGCATCAGAAAAAGTCCTATACATATTAGGCCACCTCTAAGGATGCGTCATATTTTCCTGCCAGTCTGATGTCACAGGAATAGGCTGTTTTTATATCTCACTTTGCCTTGTGCTATTCCTAGACATTCTTTTGCTCATCACCATACCCATCCTCTGGCCAGTTCAAGAGTGTCAGAGTGACACACAGTGAATCATTTCAATTATCTTTCATTACCTGAAGGGGGCCTATAGGAAAGATGGAGACAGACTTCTTAGCTGAGCCTGTTACAATAGGTCAAGGCATAATGATATTAAACTGAAGGAGGGTCAATTTAGATTAGTTATAATAATGAAGTTTTTTACAGTGAGGCTGGTAAAAGATTGGAACAGGTTGCCCAGAGATGTGGTAGATACCCCGTCCCTGGACACATTCAAGTCCAGGTTGGAGGGGCTCTGAGCAACCTGATCTAGTTTAAGATGTCCATGCTCATCGCAGGAGGGTTAGACTAGATGACCTTTAAAAGGTCCCTTCCAACCAAAACCATTTTATGATTCTATGATTTTAATTGCTTTTGATGTTGTTTAACTGGGGAGATGGTACATGTACAATAGATTCCCTTCTGACAAAAATGTTTTCAACACAATTTACAGCTGATCTTTGATCTCCAAACGAAGATCTCCAGAAGTTAAATAGGAATAAAACCTAAGAAATACTTTGATTTACCTTCCTACAAATACATATTTCTATTCATTGCTAAGTTTTAGAGGAGTTCAAGTTTTATTAATCCCTTCAGACAGAATTCTCTGTAGAAAAGTCTTTTTTTGTATTTCTCCTGCAGGTTTCTTCTGCAGTTATTTTTCCAGGATATATTTCGGTGAATGTTGAGCAGGGATAGCAGTGCTAGGTCATTACTTTGGCCAAGTTACTACAGTTTCACAGCTGTGTTAGTTAACGTGACCTATGTTGTTCTATCACTTTTTAAACCGAAGATCCCACTGAAGTTGATGTGAACTTTTACCTCTGTTTCAATATCAGGATATGGCTCCTTGTACAGGGGAGTCCTCCCTGCCTAGTTACCAATTGTACGCTGCTCTCCTCCCTTTCCTTGAAGATAAATCTCCTTATCTGGTTCCTTTTTCTTGACAATAATATTGTAGAGAGAAGAAAAAGAATAAAAGTAGTTCTTGGACAAAAATGTTGGCTATTAATTATCATTATTGTGCAGTTACATTCTTGTGTAATTCTTGTCTCCTTGGAGCCTTATTGTGCAGATATGTGAGGCTAAGTATTTCCTCCCCCATAAAACAGACATTGCAGGTTTTCATCTCATTTCCCTGCGTAAGTTGTCACTAGAAATGAAAGATTAACAAAACAAAATTCCACCTCTTCCTGAATTCCCAGAATTTCTTTACAGAATTAGAATATTGCTAACAGTTGGACAGACAGAATTCTCTGCGAGTTCTACATTAACCTGAGGAAAAACTAAAGAAGATTTACAGAGGTCACATTGACATACTGCTTTATGGTTTTGTGCATATGTAAGCTACATATTTGTGCTGTAATGAACTTACCATGATTTATTTGTTGGACACAACATTGTCATGTATATTCTAGTTCCATAAACTTATGGTGAAAGATGAAAATGGTGTGCATCAACTTTGTAAAAGATCCTAAACCTTTTCCTGTTTACATTATAAACTGAAATAAAAGAAGAAATATCCTATGTACTCTCTGAGGTACATTTTTAGCTTCAGTGTTTGAAAGTGAAGAAAAGATAGGAATGGAAAAGCTCTTGAAGTGACTACTTTTATTTAAAATTGAAGTCGGACTTCATTCTAATCAACTTAAAACATTACTTGAAGATCTATGAGCTAGTAGCTTTGAAATGTCTGCTTACTTTCTCAAGTTTATCTTGGGAATTAGAGATCATAAATGAACTTTTTAAATTAATTTTTGGAAATCTGGGTTCCTTTTAAAATCATGATTCTCAAGGGACCTCAGTTCACCCTTATTGGGGCAATAAATATGTGTAATCGCTTCTAAATTAGGAGTTTGAATCTGACCATAATTTAATTCAAGCTGAAGCAATGCCCCAGTCTGAGTCATTTAAATGGCTAAGAATTTAATATTTTAATATTTTGAACTCTTTTATAAACTAAAGGTAAGTTCTTTAATTTTATTACACCCTGTAACAATATCCAAGATAACATACAAGACTTTTTTTTTTTATTATACGAAGTAGAACTGTTCCATACTCTTTGCTGGTTGCACTGAAACTGATTTCATGTTTCTTGTTGCTATAATGGAAATTGAATTGCTTCCTCAAAGTAACATGTTCCATGGTGACTCATAAAATAAAGGGGGAGTGGAAGGGAGAATGACTGCTTTGAGTTGTTCTGAGTTGTTATTTGAAGGCTTTATGATTACACTGTACATTAATCAGATATAAAATTAAAGCCCTAAAGTGTCAGAACCGGTCTGTGATTCCATCTGTGATTGAAAAGGGCAGATTCTTCCACTAAGTTCAGAGAGAAAGCTCACAAGTCGAGGGTATATTCAAAATACCCAGAGTTCCTGTACCTGGTCAGAGGAGAGAGTGAGAAAAAAGTGGCACAGAAGTGTTTTGAAAAGCTGAGCCAGACACACAGAGGAAGCAGCACAGGCCAGTTCTTACAATGCAGCAAACATAAGGTCTTCTGCTATATTTAGTTCCCTTTCCCTGCCTTCCCTTCCCCCTTCAGTGCCTATATTTGAATTTGAGTTGTAGAGTAAGTTGTCTTTCATTGAATATAATTTTTTTTCTCCTTTTTTCATGTGGCATCCTAACTTATAGAATATTCACTTTTCGTATAATATTGTAATTAAATATAACTATGCTTAATTAGTGCTGACTTACCTTTTCTTTTCCAAAGCCTTTATATGGTGGAATGTGATTAATAATTATTGTTTGCATTTTTTCTTGAACCTTAATATAACATTGAAAGAATTGTTATGAATAACCAATATTAGAAATAAAGGCCTTGTCTTGACATCTGGCTCTTTGGACTAGTCTAGAATAATAGAAGATGAAAATAATACTGAATGTTTTAATTGTTTAATGTTTGTATCTTCAGGGTTTGCTGGAGGGTCCCCAAGGTCCACCTGGCAAAGAAGGTCAAAGGGTGAGTAAACTTGGTGAACAACTGGTGAGTGTGCTAACTGACCTTGATGTGCAACTTCTGTCTAAGCACTAGTAAAAAATGGTAAGGTAGCAGCTGAGTATGAAGCATGCTGAAAACAAACTGAGCTTTGACACTTGAGGTTTCTCTCCAGTTGAGGGAGATTTAACAATTTCAACCATCTAAAGTGTTTTAATGACTGGCAGCACAGATGTAGATATTGTATTTTGTGCAATTTATTTCTGCTATAATTTTAAGTAAAATAATATTAAAACTTTTCAGTTTTCATTTTATTGTGGGGTGAACCATACCTTACAACATCTAAGATAAATGAAAATATGAATTTACGGTCATTATCTAAAATATTAGCAGAAACCAGGTCTTGTAGATGCCATTACACAAGTGTCAGAACCTAAAACACGTATACCAAAAAGGGGATACAGTAAAGGGGGGGGGGAGGCAGGTAGATTATGAAAAATACATGAAATAAACCTTTGGTTTTTCAGAATTTTAATATAATGAAGTAACTGACTGACTGGTTTCTCCATGTTCTGTTTTTGTTTCCCCTGACTTATTGAATTTGGTAGTTCAGTAGAAAAGATAACAAATATTTGTGATTGTGTTATCACAAGAAATAATTCAGTTTTAGAAGTTTATAATCTAGTGTGTTCCTAAAAGTTTGGAAAGTTATTAAGACTCAAACATTTCAATATTTTTATAAATTAAGTTGTGCTCAGTTTATGGTTTTGAAGTTGGGTCTCAATACTTCTTATTTGATTTAGGCATCTTGATATTTATTATCTCAGTTAAAATATCTGAAGTGAAAAGATTTTGTATTTCTCATCATTGATCTTAATAAACTACAGTGAATTATTAAAGGCTAGTTTAATGATTACAGTAATAGTAATTATACTAACAGGGAACTAGTTCTTGAACAAAATGAGCCCCAAAGCTATGTTTTATGTTGGTTTTTAAGTTGTAAAAATAGTACTAAATTTCATTTAAGTTGAACACAAAGATATGAAAGTTGAGTTTATTTAAATTTCACACGTAAGGATTAAGAACCCATTCAGAAGAAGTCAATGTAGTAAAGGAGAATTCAAAGTTATGTGATGAATATGTTGTTAAAACATATTTACTAACATATGAATATGCTTATTAAGGATTTTAAAATTACCATGACTCTTACTGTTATGCTGTTAAATATCCAGGATACTGTGAAAAGCTACAGATATCCAGTTTTAGCATATTTAAAGTTTTCTGTGGAGTACTGAATCTGCAGAAAGACACAGTTTATTAGTTCTCCTTTAGGAACAGTTGTAAATATGGCTGTGTTTTTAGAAACATTGCTCCAGTAATTTCTTACTTTTTTAATGCAAAAATTCACAGTTAACACACTGTATTATATTTAATGGTGGATAAATGAATTTGGAAATACTTTTTTTATTTTATTCCATTTTGCAGTGGGAATTAGGGGGTTGATTCTTCATGGACATTTTCCTACTCACACATAAAATAGAACTGCTGTCTCACTCCAACATCTATGAAAACAGGAGCACTGATTGTTTTGTAATCTTGCCATGCACACAGCTGCCTTGAGCCAAACAATGGGAACAGCAAACTGTAGAGCCTCGGCATCTGTCTTTATCTTTCTACCAGTAAGATGCTCACAACAATACCCTTCATGCTGGCCACTCCTGCCCAACCACTAACAACATTGTTTGCAGTCTTAATTCAATTCCCATGTGCTTTCGCATTTCCAATACATTTAATTACACAATAACATACCATTTGTAACAAGATCTCTGCTCTGTTTAATGACAAACAGGACAGTGCACATCTAATGGCTATAAATGTTCCTTTTTATTCAATTATAGATGTCATGTTCCTCTGTTCTACTTCCAGCAGATCCTCCAAATCTTTCACATTATGTGAAGTTATTGCTTTTGTCATGGGCTGTCTTTTGAAGATTAAAGCATATTATTGAGTGTGTAACTAGCTAATAATTTTTCTTCAACATATTGTTCAGACCTTAAAGTGATATTGTGTCCATTTTACAGAGTTGAACTGTAGCATATTAGTGACAACTAAAGTCACTTCAAAAACATCTAAATGTATCTATTCAATTTGGATGCCACACTTTGAGAACATGAAATTTTTTGAAAAAACTTTCCATGTATACTGTACTTGTTATATTCAAAATTTTAATTTCCACTTACATCAGGAGCACTTCTAAGTGCTCAACTCCTTTAAAAATTTGCCTTAGATTAATAAGGAGCTGAGAGGAGAATCATTAAGTGTGTAACTTACAGACCTCTCAATACACATTGAAGCAAGATAAAAGGAACTGAGGAGAATTAACTGTTAATGGTGATATTGAAGAAACATGCAGAAGACTCATGTTAGAGCTAGTGACTTAGGTAACTGACAATACAAAATGAGATAGAAAGGCCAAAGTACCCACTTTCATTCACATCTGTTAGCCAATGTTGTGTTTTCCTGTAGGCTCAAGTAGTCTTCAAACATTTGCTATTCTTACAAAAGGCCAGCGTTTCCTCTCGCTCTACAATTAGTGACTTTGTATAGTTTTTTAGGTTTTTTATCTTTAGTGAAGTGGTTTATGTTAGACATGAGACCTTGCTCAGTAAGAGCTTTGGGTTTTAGTTTTGGTCACTGAAAGAAGTGAGCCAGCAGAAACAGCTACTCATTCCTCTATAAGAAACATTAGACCAGTCTGTGGGCAGGCACTACGTTCATCTGTAATTTTTCAGCGTCCAGCATGTTGGCTTCAGGCATGTTACTGCTGCAGCAACTTGATACTATTACACAAGTGTTCAGAATGGCATCAGGAGTTACAGAAGGTAACTTGACGTTACTCAAAAAAGTCCCTGGTCCAATACTACTGACCTACAAATAATAGAAAGATTGGGTGCTAAGCTAATATTGCGTGGAATTTAAACCACAGTGGACAACTACGCCATCGTCCTGTCTCTCTGTTGTGCAGAACTTCATTATTTTTCTCAATATGACTGCACTTTTTAGTTATGTATATCTTTCACAGAAGTACAGTTTCCTGTTGAAAGACAAGAGACTTCACAAATCTCCCTGATTTCCTTCTTCCTGTGTTTCTTGTCAATCACGTTTCAAAATATGTATTTTATTTTACACTTTGGCATGTAGCTAATCCTCCATTGGCCTCCAACAACTCTTTTATTTAATGTCTGTTTTATATTAAAGAGGTATTTAGAGTTTTTTCTCTATAATGAAATCACCATTCCATTAATTTCTGAAAAAAATTCAACTAAGGTCCATCAGCTCCCCATGTAAAGAATTTTCTGAAGTCTTCAAATAATTTTGTCGTGTTCTGCTTTCTTAAAAATTTCTACTACCTATAATTTACAGAATGGATGGAGTTTTCCAGATTCTGCCTTTACTATGTTAAATGCAGTGAAGTTAAATGCAATGAAATTTATATTTCCAAAATAAAATTCAAAATGTTTTGAAAATTAATGCTTAATTTCAGATGGATATCTTTGTAGCATGAATTTTTCCCTGAACTTTATGCATTTTTATAAATACTATTTCTACTGAAAATTATTAAATTATTCATTGAATTCTGAAAATTTTCTTAATGAAAAGCATTAAGGCAACTTTGTTAGACAGCTATACTGTGAAATCTAGAAAGGGACATTTTGCATTCTCATTTAGCCTGTAGAAGACCCAGGCCCAGCATGCAGCTAAAATACACAGCAGTTTGTACCACAGTTTCGGCTCTTTTAAGGTTGTCTTGATAACTTGAGCTTCTGGGCACTTTTTCTGAGATTTGGGAAACTTATGAGGATACTGAGGATACCTGTTGTTTCCAGGTAAGGGTAACTCTAGCAGCTTCTAACAAACTCCATCAGCTGTCCATGACCAGCGGGTGCCTGCAGCCTTTTTTCCAGCTGACCCTTGAGTAGGGACAGTCAAGCACCCTTTTATCCCAGACCAGGACAAGGACTATGTAACAGCAGTTTGTGCAGCAATAGCAGAAGTAACCAGTAGATGTACAGCAGGTTGCACAGCAGGTCATGCAGAAGGGCACAAAGATGATGCCAGCGAACTTTCTTTGTCCAGTGTACACATACTTAGAGGTGATGGTCACAAGGCACAGGACCCAAGTGCTACTGAAGTAGTGCTGACAGCTCTTTGCTTTCAGACTTTTGTACCCAGGCAGCTTCAAATGGAGAACACAGCTCTGTAAGTCCATGGGGCCTCACACATTGCATCCACAAGTGCAGAGGGACCTGTCTGATGTCATTGCAAGGCCTCTCTTGATCATTTTGAGTGGTCATGGTGACTGGGAGAGGTTCCTGAAGACTGGAAGAGAGCAAATATCACTTATGTCTTCACAAAGAAAGGTCCAGGGAACTAAAGGCCAATAGCCTTCACCTCGGTCCCAGGAGGTGAAATCCTCTTGGAAACCATTTCCACACACATGAAGGACAAGAAAGTGATTGGGATAGTCTGCATGGATTTATGAAAGAGAAATTATGCTTGACCAAATACGTCACTTTTTATTATGATGTGACTAGCTTGGTCGATGAGAGCTGAGCACTGGATGTTGCTGACCTCAGGTTTAGCAAAGCCTTTGACATTATTTCCCATAATTTCATCTTGTCAACTTAATAGACAAACTGACAAAGTACAGGTTAGATGGGTGGATGGTGGGTTGAAAACCAGCTCAACATCTAGGTCCAGAGATTTATCATCAGTGGCACAAAGTCCAGTTGGAGATGCATCAGTAGTGACTACTACCCCAGGGCTACTACTAGAGCCAGTACTGTTCAACATCCTCATTAACAGCCTGGACAATAAGGCAGAATGTAGCAGAGAACTGGGGTAAGGGAACTCACATGAAGTTCAACAAGGGGAAATGCAAAATCCTGCATCTAGGGAGGAATAACCCCAGATATTAGTATACACTGGAAACAAACTCTCTGGGAAAAATTGTTGTGGAGAAG